CCTTATGGGAAAATTTACCTCGAGTTGCGACCAACTCGAGTTGCAACCAGAGTCATGGAACAGAATAAGTTCGTAACTAGAGGTACCACTGTATGTGCTTACAGCTGAAACATGCCTTGTAAAAATTAAGGCACCATACTGGATGTATTGTATATATTTCTCTGTCTCTGCAAGACAGATGTCCTCCTTCACCCATTTGACGAGTATGATTTCATATTAAGAAAGAGAGTATAATAAGCACTTATATACACATATTTGGTACAAAACACTACTATGAGCATCATGATGTCATTGTGCAAACAATACAAACTACATCACTTGCGCAATTACTTCCTGATATCATTTGCTGTCCTTGTCTCCTCCCCATGGTCACCCATGTATTAATAGAAATCCCAAGAGATATCTAAAACATAAACCAATTCCAAAAGTTTTATCCAAGACACTTGGAAATGTTCATACCTGCAATCAACTCCCTAGCTCAGCCTTCTCCAACCAAGTGTCCTCCAGCCATACTGCCAGAGAGTTCTAGAAATTACCATTAGCTAGTTGGAAAGCATCAGATTAGCTAGGCTGCCCTGGCTGGGCATTATTGTTACCTAGTCCAGGATACTTTATCACACTTCAAAGGAAGTTAAGGCTGCACAAATTACTTCCTTTTTTTCTATCTACAGTATTTTCACATCCACTTTTGGAGATAGATCAGACTGAGAAGGACTAGCCTGAGCAACTTTGTAAGCTTAATGGTTGAGTGGAGATTTGAACCTGGGCTTTGCCTGGAAGGAAGACTGCGACCATGACCTGATTGGTTATCATTTTGCATACCATTTGCCTGCAAATCCGGTCCGGGAAAAGAAAAGTAATTGTACCACAGATATTATAATCTGGGAAACTATTTGGCATTAGTCCACTCTAAAACAAAGAACCTCTCTGTTGATACTACAAATTCAGAAAAGCATGGGCTTAGGGGGAGGCAAATGTATTTCTGGAGTGGAAAATTTGATGGGCAGCTTAACTGGGACTATTATAGGGGAAGAAAAATTAATTTAGAAATCAAACATCAAAAGAGCAAGATGTTGATTCCAAAAAGTGAGAGAGCCTTCATATTCCCTTATATTTGGTTTGGAAGCCTGCCACCATTATATAAATAGACCCACTGCTGAAATCTCATAGAGGAAAAAGAAAAGGCCCAACTTGGCTTGTCCTGAAAATAACACTGAAAGTTTCCCACAGCAGAAAGTAAAAAATAGCAATAACAATATTGGGTTTATCACTGATATATTTATTTCTAAAACGTCTCTGCTGTTCCATTCCAAACCGGCTTTAAGTGGTACAGTACATAAGAAAAAAAGACAACACCTCAAAAACAATACTGCTATAAAGGCCCCAATTAACATCTCCCCAAGGAAGCTAGATCCCAGTATTTTATATAAACTGTACATATTTTAAAAATCCTTCACAGTGTAGCATCTGGAACATGCACAGGCATGGGGAGTAAACAGATTGGATTCTCTGGCTAAAGTCACCAGGGGCAAGAAGATTGTGACCACCTTCTTTGCGTATAAATACCAGCAGGCATCTTCCGTTCTTGGCTGGAAGCCTTGGAAAGTGTCAACAATCCATTCAGACAATAGCAATCTATAGGAATCAGGGGAAATTTGAATCCACTAATGTATATTCCTCTTTCTTCCAGTTAAGTGAAAAATTAAGTACTAAAGTTACAGGAAAAATAGAACAACACACTTTGGAAAATTATATATTGTCAAAACCTTCACTCCTGACACTTGGCAGGCAGGCTTTCTCTTGCTGGGTCAAACAAGTGTGTTTTCCAACTATGTGATAAACTCTATGGAGGTTTACTGCACGTTCTCTGCAAAAATCCTCACAATGCACAAATCCTTATAAAAATACATATATAGAAAAAGAAACCATAATGTCAAGTGATTTGTGGCAAAATATCTTATGACTTTTTAATGTTTTAGTTAATTGTATGAGTTTCAGCTAATTAAAGATGAATCTAGGAATAAAGGTACATACTGTTTCACGCACTATTTCTGAAGCATGAATTATATTTCCTTTATGGACATACTTGTTACAGCAAGCATCGACTTAGGAGAAGCATTTGCTACTGAACAGAATACCTCTTGTGAAGTGGTGCT